GAGAGAGGAAACGTAAGAAGAAAGAAAAAGATGCGGAGTGAATTGTTGGTTGCTAATGGAGTCAATTGTTGTTTGTTGTTTTCCGTTGGAAAACTCTACATCGGCAAAAATAAAACAAGTGTGTGACACACCTATGCGAAAAAAACACCCCCCTACCAGCCAAAAAAAAAAACAAAACGGAGTTCCTGCTCTGTGTGAACTCCGTGAAGTACGTGACCGACGATGTGACCGGCAACTGGCCGACGTTCACCAGGGCCATGAACGGTGAACGGGGGTACGGCACTGCTCCCCGCAACTCCTTCTCTCCCACTATCCTCTCTCCTCCCTTTCTCCAACCTCTCTCCCTCCCCTCTCCTTCGTTAGTTGTTCCACTTTTCTGAGGTGTTGCCGGACCCTTCCGGCCTTCCCCCCCTTTCCTTCCCCCTGTCTCGATACTCCCCGCAACTTCGTCGGACTCCAAGAACTCGTCGCCCGCCCCAGCCTCGGGCCAATATCACTCCTCTCTCGCCCTTTCCTCCCCCCTGTCTCGGTGCTCCCCGCAACGCCGTCCGATCCCAAGCTCATCGCCCTGACCTGTTCATCCCCCACTAGCTCGTCCCCTCCCTCATAGATCCGGTCTTCTGTCGCGATCTTAACAGTCCCCCTCCCTTTTTTTTACGATCCCTTGCTCATCCCCATAACCGCCCTCTCCTTAGCCTTCTGGTGGAAGAAAGGAGCAGTGTGTTGGGGGAGGTAGAGGGAGAATAGGGGGATATGGACACATAGGTGGAAAAGGATAATAACGTGGGTAAAACACAGGGGAGGAACCCAGGAAGGAACTCAGTCACAGACCCATACCCATCTAATCCCAAGGAGGGAACTAAGAGGGAAGGAAGAGAGGGAGGGGATTAGCAATCGAGGAGGGACTTTGAGAGGGTAACACAGCAAGAAGGGAACGGCAAACGCAGTTTTGGGCGGGGCACAAAGAATAAAGGAGAACATCACCAAGGTAAATCGAGGTGAACAGATAGCCCTTCTCATCATGGTTGTTAGTAAAGGCTCTGGGTCAGGACACAGACCTCAAAGGGCTTACAAAAGACTTGAGTCTACACTGTTATATCGTGGGGCTATGCGGCAGCATGCGGAGAAGAGCTTGGCTGGCAACAAACATAAAATAATGGAGGCCTCGACTAGTGGGGGGCAAACCACCTCCGACATCCAGCCGACTAGTCCTCCACTCCCCCCCCCACATCCTACACCACCCCCTCCCTTTCCTGGGCAGCCCTGTGACGTGCAACCTCACGCCCTGTGCTGTCTTTCGTTCGAAGTGTTAGACGTGCGGAAAGGGGCCCAGAAAAACAGCAAGATGGGATGTGCCAAGGATTTTTGGGAAATTGAGTGTGGGGACACAGACGAAACTGAAATCCCCCGTGTTGGTCTGATGAAGTAAGTCGATTGTTTTCGTGCGTCGCGGAAGGCGCGGACGGGTAAGGCGGGAAAAAGAGAGGAAAATCCAAATTCAATCCAGAAAGTATTGTCGTGCTTCCCACCGGGTTATAGCCCGTCGTTTAGAACGGAAAGGCTTCGGCACGCTTCGCGTGTCTCATTTTCGTATCAAATCTCGTCGTCGTTCGCTGGTTAGTTCCGAGTCTGACGTGGATGGTCTCAGTCGCGTGGCTCTTTCTTTATGCTCGTCTTCACTCCGCACATGGTAGTGGAAGCCCCTGGAATCGTAGTGTTCAGAACGCTGATATTCTGTATATAGAGTTCGTGGCCAGTGGGGTTCTACTGTCGTCCACGGGATGACGATCAACTCGTTAAATGGCAACAATACCGAGTAAGGTGGGAAGTGCGTATCGATGATAACAAATCCGGCTTCTACGAATCCAGAACAACGGTTGGCCGGAGGGAAATAATATCGGCCGCAGATCTGTGCAACAGCTTCTCGTACGTCCCACTCGCATACACGTGTCCTTTCCTCGTTGTAGGGAAAAGGCCGCGTTGGGGCGGGCGGTACGGGAGGTTGATGCCCGATCGGAGGGTACTGGTTAGTCCACATATCAATCAATTGCAAAAACCTTGAGACGTCATCAAAAGAAGGAAACACTCGTGCAACTCACAGTCAATTCCTTTCGATAGGAGAGAGAGGGAGTGAAAAGAAGAGATACTTCCTCGGCTTAAAGCATGCATAGGACTAAGGGATCGATCCGCGGCTCGGGTTTAGTGAGTCAGCGCGACGTTGATCCCCGGCGCCTTGTTTCTCGAGGCCGCCCCGTGGTTCGGCTACTGATGTTGTGCAGCATAAGGCAGATGGCATGCGCAGTACATTCAGAGCTACAGATCTAAACACTCTTGCATTCTCGGGCAAAATCCCGAGGACAAACGTCTAATCAACACAAAAAAAGGTCGCGCATCTCCATACATACATCCACTGTGGAAAGTGCGAAAATGAGACATACACAGAAAAAGATGGATCGCCTACTCAGTACACACGCATCCACCATTCACAAGACAAAAAGACGGGGACCTTGCGTAGGATGATTACCTAGGAAACTAATGGAAGAGTTCCGGAAGAAGTTCTTTCATGCAAGGGAAGCACACCGATTCATTCCTATTCAGGAGAAAAAAAGAAGAAAGACAATCATCGAGACACATCATTATTCAAAAGTAGAGAAGAGAGGGGGTACATGGGGGAGGAGAGTCGAGCTGGGGGATGACCAAGTCTGGAAGAAAGACATTCAACATGACCGTCGTACACTTACACCAAAGATAAAGATCCACAACAACAAAGGCGCATTCGCCGTTAATTCCAATATGGCCCCAGGCCAAACGCTCACTCGACTCCAATCATCGATCCTCATACCCGCACCGACGATCCCCGCCGTCGCGTGTTAACTCCCATCATTGCGATCGTCACCCCGCTGTCGTAAACTCGACACGGTTCGTCCGGATCCCACAGTCCGTCGTGGCGATCAAGAGCGCAACCGGCCAGCCTATCGTCAACCCGACAGGACTTTCCGACTCGCATCAACACACTCTGCCTAGCCACTGCTTCCCGGAAGCTGGCTTGGGAATCGAGAATGTAAGAGAGATTTGCGGACGCGCTTGCGGGTTTTATAGTTGCGATGAGGGATGCAGGAAGGGGAAAAGTCGAAGGGAAGGTTGAGGGATGGGGGGAGTAGCAGGAGGAGAAGACGTTGAGAAAAGCACTCTGCGGAAGCCATGTTGATCCCTCGAAACTCAAGGTTCAACCAATCAGATTCGTTGCGCAATACGAAGGTCCTATTGATCCACGTATCTGATTGGCGAGCGGGAGTTATCGAAGGATCAACCGGGCGTTGCGCGCTGAGTTGGAGGGTGGGAAGGAAAAAGGCGCAAGAAGTAGCGCAAGACGGGTCCAAGATTCAGATGAGCAAGAAAGGAAAATGGCCGCGCAAAGAGCAGAGCGGGAGAGAGAGAGAGAGAGAGAGAGAGAGAGGAAAACTGTTACGAGGAGCGAGGGGGAAAAGGAGGAAGGAGGGAAGAGCGCGGGAGAGAACGACGCGGGGAACAGAGAGGAGAAAGCTTTGCATGCGTGGCGCCGTCAACAGAAAAGGAGAAAAAGGCACCAAAACAGTTACAGCTTGCCTAAATCCTAGACCAATTCAAAATTGAAATCACCATATCCGCGCGCGAAATGTCGACGCGGGAAAAGAAAATTCTACGCCTATTCGTTTCCGGACGAAATCCCGAAAGTTTTCCCCGACGCGGCCAAAAACATTCACACACTTAAAAAGGACACGTCGAAGTTCCGCTTATCCCGGAATTCCCAACTGCCGAGCCCAATTCCCAGTGCGCTCACTAAGGCGCACGTAAATTCCCATGTATTTTCCGACTTGCAAAAAAGAAAAAGAGAACCCAGAAGTCGAAAAAGCTCTCAGAAAAAAGGAAAATGCGGCATCCGGAAACAAGAAATCGAAACGGGGTTTTCATGGGGTTGGTATGATACAAGCAAAAAGGGTACGAAAGATAGCACGGGTTCGGGAAGTGGTTCGTCACATATGTGACGCGCAGGGGGTTCCAAAATTATGCGATCTCCTGATTGCATGTCATGGCGGAGGAGGAGAGAAAAGGGGGGAGAACAAAGTGATGCATGAGGAACCAAACAGAGCTTCAGAAAGAAGCACAAGGACGATAATTGAGCCGCCGATGAGATGGCGACAACATCCGTGGCAAGATCTCCGCAGCCCTGTCGTATGCCACCCTCTGCCTTGTAGAGATCGTCCAGGTGACGCCATCATAATCCACCTGATCTTCATGTACTCTGCACCCCTGCTTGCTGCTGTTCGTCGAATCAGAGCGTAGGTTGACGTCATCGTCGATGGCGTGATCTTCGCGAAG